TGGGGTGTGTGGGTGTTGGGGGGCAGGCAAGGCAAGGCAAGGCAGGTGCCCCCAGACCATCGTCATGACAGATGCTTGCTAATTCGAAGTGATCTTCTGTGGAACATGTGACAAAAAGTAAATAAATTAATTAAGAAACGAAAGAAGACAGGGCTTTAATTTTGAAATGGCTTTGTGGTGCATTACCTCCCCCCCCCCTCTTGTGTGGTGCTTTCCCCCCCCCCTCCAAACCTCTAATCCAGAGAGACAAATAGTCAAACAAGTGGCGTGCTCTATCAGCGTCCACCCAACCTCCCTTGTATTCTCGTGGAGAAAGAAGCCTGAGCTGCACCACCCCCTCCATCTATCCTTTATCTCAGATTTACTGAGCACTCACTAGGGAACTGCCATACCAAAATATCCACATGCAGTCTCATAGCTCAGCAGGGCGGGAGCACAATAGCGCTAGAGCTACATATAGTTCTCAGTGACAGGCTGGAAGGGCTGCAAACACAAATATATTAATCACCCACGGACGTGATTCAGGAGAGGGTTAGTGCAGGTTTAGAGCCTGTGTTTTTTCAGTCACAGTTCATTTATACAAGTCTATCTTAAACAAAACGCATACCCATTAAAGGCTCACCTAGATTACGAAAGATGTATTATAGTCTAAGTATTGAGCCGTGCAGATAGTTTTTGTTTTTGAGATAGGCATTTCTGAGATTCCTGCAGCTGCCTCAATACAATGGAGATGAGTGGAATTTAGTCTGTGTTGCTGACAAAAAGAAAGTTCTGAAAATAGACATGAAAATATTAGTAACACTTTCTTTTCAAAAAGAAGTTCAATACAAACTAACTTTAGCCTAGTAGTAATAGTAGGATACCTCACTATTGATATCATGTTCATGTTTGGATTTTGTATGGTTTTACCCTGACCAATCTGTATGTAGTGACATACAGTACAAGTATAGTAGCGTCATCCCAAGAAGCTACAAAGCGCTTCCTGAAAAAGTCAAGTCGGCTGCATTTATATGGAATGTGATGTCGTAGAAGTGATGTGATGTCATAGCTGCATTGACACCATCTATGGTTATTGGCATTTTTGTGGCCATTTTTCTGTCACAGTTGTCACCAAAACCGACTGCTTGACTGCCTCTCTTAACACTGAAACAACCATCAGTGAGGACAACACCGGAATTGCTGAAAAGCTGGAAATGCAGGTGCCGATTCAGAGGTATGCAACCAGGCTACCTGCAACCTGAGAAAACACAAACAAATGAAGAAAATGTCTTCAATACTTTACAACCCACAGGCAAGTATTTGCGAAAAAATTCTGCAGATACATATTAGCACATAAAGAAAGAGAAATGCTGTAAAGAACAATGGAACCGATTCAAATTTCCACTAACTTTATAGTACGCAATCACAACGTTAAAACTGAAGTCAACACTTTTTGAACATCACCGATAAACATTCAACTGATTTGCCAGTGTTTAGGGTTCCCAGAAAGTTTCTGTTTTCTTCAGTTTGACTTGGAGCTTTTTTGTACATGATTGTGTTTTCTCTGTTTGCAGCATGTTTCTTGGCACATGTCATCAAATTGGTGAACGTTTCTTAATGTTAATTGCTTTTTTCCAAATTAGAAAAAGGTTATTTCACTTGGACTTGTCAGTAATTAAGTAGTAGCCCATGCAGCTACGTATCTCATTGCTGGATGCCATTAGAATTAGGAAAATGTTTAAAGAAACACATAGAGCACACACATTGTAAGAAAAAAAAAAAAAATCCAAATGCAAATTTTGGTGGAAAACCCTTAAGTAACAGCAACATCCATGTGGGAAGGCAGACAATGTTCTTATAATTGCTTTATTCTGACACTCAAAACAATCAGATTACTTATATGTCACATATTGACAACAAAAATAAATCATGAAGAGAGAAAAAATCATAATAATATACTTTTACCTATGAAATTAACCTAAAAGAAAATTACTTTACACCTTTCAGACAATATATTTTCATTATAGAAACTACATACAGTTCAAGAACAAGTTCAGCTGAATAGAAAATACACAGATAACCCCACTTCATATAGGAATACATATAAAACATTTACTCGGAGAATTGCCATATAGTGTGTGTTTGTGTGTATATACATTTAAATATATTTACAAGTAACTGTAACTTTTTTGCTTGGTTCTTTTTTTTTGTATAAATCTTTTTGGTGGATTGATAAATACACCTGCCAGCTTATCAGGGCTTCGTCAATACTTGTAGTAAATATAAATGATGGATAAAGAGTATTTTCTGCTGATGTGTAAATGTATCTCAGTACAACTAGTAATACAAACATAAGTACGATCTAATGTTTGGATCAAATAGAGGTCTGGTTGCATATTAAGCTCTTTATGAAATATATCAAAAGCAAACCAAAAAAAAAAATCAAGTTTTTTTTCTGTTTTATAATTTAACATTTAACTTACAGTAGGCATAATAAAAGAAACAGTTCAGACCTCGACAATACTGGCGACCCGAGATATTTACAGTACGTCTTTAACATTTAAACCTTGATAAGCTGACAATGAAACAGTTAAACAATGTTCATTTTAGCTTTTGCTGTAAACTGTAAACAAACCTGTGCAGACTGTCAGGAGCAATTCCAGATGACAACACTCAAACTCGTCCCTGTGATAACGTGACGGTAGAAGAAAGTGTCATAGTGATGTCGGTAAAGGTAATGTACCCTTGGTGAGATATTTGTTGGGATATTGTACTATGTACATCCACAGTCAAATCTCCCTCTTCTTTTGTTTCGCTAGTGTCTCTATGTACAGTACAATGAGCAGGAGACCAACAGGTCTGTAAACATCAGGAAGCACAGTGCTTATGCAAACTGTTATTGTTGGAGACAAAACATGGGATTTAGAAGAGTAATGAGAAATCGACGAATTCTAAAAAAGTTCCGATGATTGCGATGAAGAGATTGGGAGCAAAAGGATCTGAGTCTGCAGCAGGCCAGACTGTGGCAGCTGCATGCGCTAATGCTTTAATAAGAAGCTAAACGGCATTACCCAAATTTTAATGTACCCAATGTGCATAACACAAGAACACACTATTGTTTTGGTGCCTGTTTTCTGCATTTATACCTCTATGGTTTGATTTTGATTGAAACACTCTTTTGATACCCCTTAAAATGTTATGTTCTTAACTGAACATTACAGTTATCTGTGAACATAAAATATACATTTAGGAGTGCAATTAGCAACTAATATTAATGTTCTATTAACTGATAAAAATTTGTTATTTAAATTAGTTAATAGATAGATGGATGACTTAAACAATTAACTGTATATCAGCCCTGTGACAAATTCACTTCACATTATAATTAGTGCTGAAGATGTGTTGGACTGTATTATGCTGTTTTCTAGCATTTCTCTTCCTTTGTATACTTTATATGTAGAGACACAATGACCATTTTTTGTATGAATGTAACCGTTGATCTGACAGGCTCTGTAATAACTGGATCAACATTGAGAGAGACACGTTTGCCAGAGTAATATAATTCTATCAAATAGTGTCAATAAGCATCACAGTTTGACATTTCAGTATAATCTTTAAGAGAAAGCATTGGCATGTGCACCTGCTCTAAGGTAAGAGTCAAACACAAACCAAATGGGTAAAACTTCCACAAATCCCAAGTATTCTTCATTACCTGGGATGAGGAAAAGCTGATCAGAGTGTATATATATTTACATTTAATCAATATATCAGAGGTCAGAGTTTTGATATTGTGATGTTATTACAGGGACTTGGAGTGACGTCATGTAAAACCTAGCTGCAGAATGTTATCAGACCACATTCACTTCCCCTTTCTCTCTCTTCTCCCTCACACACACATAGTAACATAGGCACATACTGTACATTCTGATGGGTAAAGACAGTAATCTATTTCATTCCAGTCTTCTTACTTATAGCAGTCATAACTGAACACCCACACATAGACTCTGCTGCAGACTACAAATACACAAACCGGTTCTCCCACTCAGAAATGGTAGAAATAATATTCAAAGTTAGTTTGGACTGATATAAAAACCCCAAATGGTGCGAACGTACTGGCATATAAAAGGAAGAACAATGTCTGTTTACCCACATAGATTTTCGTTGACTCATCAAATAATAGGATAGTTTTCTTTTTTTGTATATACAACATTACTATATCATTTTAACATCTTGACTAAACATAACTAGCTGTATATGATACCTTTATAAATATGTTACATTTCAGAAAGTATTGGAAAAAAAAACAAAGTGCGACAATTGTGTTTTTTCTTTTGAGACCACAAACACTTGTGTGAGTACATAGAAATTAAATATAGTTGGCAATAGCGCTGACTTGTATTTCATTAGCTGCACTGAAATCTTGACAGCTAACATTAGCTACACAAAGATTTTCTCATCCATCCACCTGACGTAGCACTAAGTTGTAATAGAAGCAACTGTATATCGACTACTGCTGCACTCTACACACATTTATATTGTGTCTTCTAACTCCTGGGAGCAGGTATATAATATCTTACTGTACTTGTGTGTATACAGTGTAAAATGTGTTATACAGTACATGTCTACATATATATAATACAGTAGCTTTAATAAAGAGTAAGTCAGTCTTATTTTATTACCCTCTCTTGGGGTCTCTGCTTGAACAAAAATCAAAGAGGACTAACCTGCTGGTTGTATTCCAAATGAAACTATCCTGACTGCTGAGAACTGAATTACACTGTATTCTAGCATATGAGTTTCAGTTAGCTTGTCCTGAGGTAAAATATTTTGTGCAGTGTTTAAAAGGGAGACCGGTGACTTGTAGCAGATCAGCCTCTGGTCAGGCTCATCGACCTCAGTGCTGTGTCATAACTGCGTGTGTGAGGTGATGTGGAAAATGTCCCGGTGCACCTTGAGCACAGTTTATCTGCCACGGTGTTGTAGTGAGGATATGCAACCGTATTTTCTGCAAGCCACGGTGTTGTAGTGAGGATATGCAACTGTATTTTCTACAAATTAAATTCATGTGCAGCTCTTTTGCAATTAACAATTATGTTTCGGGGAACGTATGCTGACTGACCAGAAAAACAGAAACCCATGTAAACAGTCCAGTACAACTAATTATTTCTATTAACAATAGTTAACAGATGATCGGAATTGTTGGTTTGACTGAGCAGTTATTCGATCGATTGCACTAATCCACTACAAAAGTCTACTGAAATTGTAATCAATCTGATGCTATGTAAGTCCGAATTATACTGCGTTGGCATGTGGAAAAATATTTGAAACACCTTCCAATTTAAAGCGCTCCAATACAAGAACACAAACTATAGCTAAAAATGTACCATAGAATTTTAGTCGACACACAACTACTTACAAACTTTCATCAGACAGAACTACAATCCTACAATCTGCAAAATATTTAGTGCTCAGTTTTTAGAATATTTGTGAATAGCACAATTTTAGACATGAAGCTCAGTTTACTCAGCATTAGGAGAACTATTCTGCCTGCGAAACAAGTCTTCTGTAAGAACTAACACTGATGATGTCCATTAGGTTTATCCCTACTTGGGCTTAGAGTATACAAATTCCCTGTGTTACAAGCTGGGGGAGCAGAGTTTAAAAGACATTTACCAAGCAGGGTCTACTGAAAGACAAGTACTGCTTAAAGTCAATTTAGGCAGCTAAAAGCACATGGTTCATTTAGTCTGTGTTCACTTGCAGTTAATCCTGTGAAAATATTAAAACCATCGCTGCCAACTACAAGCATGAGCCAGGATGCAAACCCAGGCTGCCGGGCCTATGCTCATTCCCCCGTTTACCTTTGGCTGTACTTCCATGAAACACAACCACTGATAGAAAATAGATGCATATGAACGCAGAGAAATTTGCAGGAGACTGGGCTGGAGTTCGAGCATTGTGAGTCCAAGACAGAAATCTGACCTTCATGACCCTTTAGTCTGCATGCTGTCATACAACATATTACAGTTTATAAGGCTTCACTGCAAGTGCACAACAGTAGGACACTCCAACATTTAAAGAAAACAAAAGCAATCAGAGCAGTGCCGTCTTTGAACTAAGAATTACCAAGGCATGTCAGTCAGCATATAGGTTGAGTTCTTTTATTTCTGCAGGTTATATGGGAGGCAGACGTTACAAAAATTATGAACTGATAGATCAGTGACCAGCGTTTACCTGATCAGACCTGGTATGTTTCTTCTTATCGTGTCGTAAAAATGCCCCAGTATATTCTTAGTCAGATGACAGCAGCTGCATACACATACCTCTGAGCATGCATCATGCGTGCTGCAGTAGGTTCACATTGGTTATGGTGACACAGCACCCATATACAGCAATCAAGATAATGCACATGTGCATAAAACTTTCCAAAAGAAAACCAAAAGCACAAAAAAATGAATAAAAAACAAGAGCAGACCAATGATGACATCAAAAAGGTTGCTGTAGAAATATCGGCTTGAGAGGGTGTCAGGGGAGGGGCTCAGCATGGGGGGGCCTGGAAGCTTTTATTTAGATTTAGCTCTCCAACAAGGACTGGGTGTTCGCTTGTTTTGTGTCTTTTTTTTTTCTTAGATAGTTTTTTTTTGTTTGTTGGGGTAATGTCCCTGTCTTTTCTTTCTTTTAGTAGGGAGTGAAGCGACTGTACCCTCCTCTGTATAGGCTAGCCTGCAACATCAAAGATGAAAAAGTACCAATCAGTATTCAGGTGACAGCTTTAGGTTTCTCTTTCTCCACAAATTTCCTTCCTTTTTCCATTTTTAAGTTATTTACAGAAATGTTAACATGGGAACGATGAGGCAGACTGATTTGAGCAAATAATGGCTTTGTAGGCTTGATTGCTTAATTGCATACATTGTGAGTGTATGTTTGGAACAGGGTCGCCAGGGGTTAAGGCAGATTTTTGAAGGTTGATTAATTGGTTTCTTTTTTTTTTTTAATATATAAAGTAGCATATAAAAACGGCACTTTCTTGAAAAATCTCAATAAAATAAACACGCTGTACCTAGGCTTATTATTTTCTTAAATTAATGACATTACAAATTAAAATATACAGTATTGTACTTTGCCTTTTCACTTGAGGAAATCCATTTCTTTTCAGACTGTAAAAGCATCAGTGATTCAACCAAAGCAGAATAAGTTCAGAGGGGTTTAATCACAGCTCCTTTTCAAGTCTAGCGGAGGTGTTTTCACCTTTCTGGAGGGTCAAACCACCACAGAATATTAGCCCTTAGATTTAGCACCATGTGCAAGATATGTAGGGTACTCACACACATACACACACACACACACTCATACACAAAGCATGGCAGTGGGCCTATGCATGCACACCTGCACATGCACGCGCATGCACACACACACACACAGCCCTCCTCTCATCTTTCGGTGCCTCTGCAGCAATTAGGAATTCAGACAAACTCCAACAGCAACCAAATGTCTTCAAAGGCTAATTCTGCCTAATTTCGGGGAGCCCTCTTGCTTGTGCAAAACTTCCATCCAAATGAAATGTTTCTGTATGCTAGAAAGGAGTAAAGAGAATTTCCAACCTCAACCTTAGAGGAACTAATTATTGTATAGCTTTTAAATGCAAAAATGACTCCTTTCTGCTGGAGAACCATTAATCAAATATGATTAAAGAATCAAACAGTTTTTTTTTCTCCAGCTCACACGCTTGTTAGATGTTGGCCTCAGCACAGCCCATCTCCCAGTAGCCTCACCATTTGTTCCACACCACATGTCGAAACACACACACACACACACCCTCTCAAGCCTGGTTTAGTTCCCTGAGCTCCCAACACACACACGACATTAGCTCTGATATTTTTAGGGGCCAAATCCTGTCCTCTTCTTTGTTTGAGAGGATGATTAAAGTGTCTGAGAAATGGAAGGAAATTTGGAGGAAAAAGAAGAAAGAATAAAAAACATTCAAGCACATTTTTTAATTAAGTAAATGAAGAGGAAAAAGAAATGTTTTAATTAATGAAAGCTTTTAGCTAGCAGCTGCACCGGGGAACGATATGCCTTTTTTTATGTTGTTGAAAAATCGCATGCATGCCGGAATGGTAAATTTGAGTCATTTCTCAAGCAGAGAGCACGCCTCCGATCAAGCTTGTGGGCAGGAGGGGAGGGCAAGACAACTCCTTCCCTCCATCTCGCTCTCTTTTTTTATGTCCCACGGCACACTGCTGCATGCGTTTGATGGTCCTTAATCTCCGGGTTTGGTCTGTGAGCCTGGTCCCATCCCTTAATCATAAAACAAAACCAAAGAGAAACTCTCTCTGTCTCAAAAAAAAGATGCTCTTTTATTTATCATCGCTTTTCATCTTTGATGTTACAGTAGCTGCAAAAGCTAGCTAAAAACAGACATTAACAATGTCACTTCGTCCCTTCAGGTGTGGTTGGGCTTAATGGAAAAAAATAAAGATGATCCAACTCACTCTGTAGTGAGTTGAGAATGAACAAATAAGCTTGGAAATATAGTTGATATGTAAGGTGCCAAAATCTGCATCAAACAGAAAAACAAAAACACTGCAGTGATCACTCATTCTCATTTCAGGAGGAACTTGTGTCAGATCAATACTGCATGAGGTGAGCTTGCGCAGCATAACATAAGTTTGTTGCATTAAATGTCTGAGCCAATTTCCACATGCCTGGGTGTTACAGTACCCCTCAGCTCCACTAGGGTGTGCCAGATAGCATGACAAAATCTAAATTAATTAATGACTAAATGCATAAATAAAAACCAGTGACCACTGCAATCTCTGGTCTTTATTTTTCAGTGCGAGCTGTGTGTGTGCCAGCTCATGTTGTGATGTCTGAAACAGGGAGCGGACGGAAACAGGCGGCGGTCTCATAAACTTACCATAGTCCCCACACTGTATGTGGCGGCAGGGCCAATTGTGTGGTGGTAGGGGTCTGCTGTTGCATAGACTCTGCCATAGCTGCACAACAGGAGACACAGATAACACGGTCATTGATCTATCATTGACGAGGAGAGCAGAACATTTATACATGCTTGTTTAATGCTCAACCCCTCAAGTCAGCTCTTTCAAGTCTCTCGCACAATCAATTATTTCCCTCCTCTGCCTCATGGGCTTCCTACATTATACAAGGTGGTTCAGAAAGGGAATTCAAAGGTTGGTAAATTATACTTGTCTTTTCATTGTCATCTTGATTAGGTGGATACAATAGGTAATGAGCACAGAGCGAGGGGAGACAGAAAGAAAGAGAGATGCAGACAAGGAAACACAGTTGGTGCTGGAGGGGGCTTGGTCTCTCAACCTGTTCTTGTTTACCCAGGCTGCGCACTGGGCTCACGCCCCTGTCTTTTCATTGTTGCTGGTTTGGAACTAATCCTTCCAATTTCCTTCTGAGACAGGACAAGATGTGTCTGCCTTATTTATTTATTTATTTATTCGACTTCACATATTCCTCTATTTACTTTCCTTTTTTTCTCCACTGCTCGCTTGCAAATGAGGGTCTGCACAGAGCAGATAAGGCACACCCAGCCAAGGACTGAGGGCACCAAATCAACCAGGAATAAAAAAAAAAAAAAAAAAAAGTGGAAGGAGGAAGGAATTCTACTAAAGGAGACAACAAGACATACAGTGTTCATACAGTGTCCACGCCTTTCACATGAGCTACGTTAAGCTGTACAAGATCTAAATATGGCTCGGCCCATTTAAGTCCCGCAGGACCCAAGGTCAGCGAGCAGGACGTGAAATCAGAAAGGCTGTCTTGGCACCTTGGGGAGGACGTGGGTTTCATAAGATGGTCAGGGGGATGTCTCTGTGGTCCTCTTATCTTCAGCGAGCCCCGAACCCCACAGGCCCTCTAAGGCTAATACATCTACAAAACGACTCCCACCAGAGTGGCACTGCTGACGACTGGCAGGTCAAACCATCCTGTGCAATGTCACAGAGCCTCAGCAGAGCTGACTGGAAGCCAGCAGGGTCTCTACAGTGTGAGTGACTCCTCACGATACATCAGACTCACTGCTATGAACTCTGTTTAGTTACTTTCAGGGCTTTGGTAATACAGCCTGTGAGCACTGTAGGCTTTTCAGATAATAAATGGTTCATACTTTACAGGGGTTTCACACGCCTTCCACAGTCCTGGTGACCTCGTTTTATGTCTGGCCGACTGCTCCACGGTTAAGTCTGATAAGGTATTGCTGAAACAATACTGACAAACCCCTATTGATCCAATGGGCATGACTGCTTATTCAAAAGAAACAAACAAACATAGCAAAACAAACAACCTGGGGGGAAATTACATTAAATCTCTGGGAAACTTATAGGCAAGAGAAACAGGAATTAAATCACTCAGTGAGAAGAAATAAAAAAAAAAGATGCTGTCCAATTTCTGCTCTCGCCGAGCACGGCTGCTCATAATTCGAGCAGCGGCGAGGCCTGATAAATCTTACATTATCGATATGATCTTCAGGCTCCCAGGCAGGGTGTACGTTATCACAAGTGACATGCTCAATCCTTCCCAGATTAGATTCCCAAACCAGCGCACATTCTGGCCGACAACGGCTTTCAGGGTTCTGAAATGAATCAGCAATGCCTCCTCAAACGGAGCACACCTGAACCAGAGTGGCATCACTCAGAAGTGATAGAGTTCCTGCCGGTCCATCTCTCCCTCTCTCTCTGTCTCCCTCCCTCACTTCCACAGACCTGAGGCCATTCATAAATACCGCAGTGATATACCCACTCTCCCATCACAAGCAGAAAGTCACGACATATATCACTGCTTTTCTCATCGAGTCCAACAAGGTTAGTCTTTTTTTTGTGTGTTCTTTAGCTCCGAGCTAAAAAGAATATAACGGTTTGCTAATAGATAACTTGAGAGGAAGAAAAACCCCAGGAAACCCAAAATAACCTACACAGAACAAACGCTAGTGAAGTGGTCACCCATTCATCACATACTTTCTTCTCCATCTGTTTGTCCAGTTACATGGTTTGCTTTTTATTAGGAAAAGATTAATAATTTAAAGCAAACATTCGCCCTTTGCTTCTCCTGTACCATGCCTTTCAGTGATGAAGTGTTTTGTGCTGTACTCATTTCCTTCAATTTTCCTCATCTATTTCTACTTCAGTAAGTAATTTCCTCTATTTGACAGCCTGCGGGATCAGCTTGTTGCTTTGAATCGAAGTTCACATTAACAAAGATAGCTTGTCGAACACAGTATAGATGTGTTTACAATTTTACCAATCCCAACGTGTTTTGTCAGCATTACATTATGTTCCTTGGGGCTGCTGCTGATGTGGGAAAATGCAGTCTCTGCGTGCTCTGTGTTGGATTTCTTCGTTTACTTCAACGCATGCAGAACAGTAGCTTAAGAAAAAGGTTATTTCTCATGGTGTTGTGGATTTTAAACATTTTCAGTTCTGTAAAACTGCATGTGAGCTGTGACACCATATTGTTCATAATGGACAGAAGAAAAATGTACCAAAATAGAAAGTGAATCTAAAAATTCAAAATGTATCAACCTAATTAAGCCTTTCAGGGTAGACCTTGATAACACTGGGTTACATAATAATTCATATATTGAGTTCTGATATAATTAATCACCTATAGGATTTTGGGTCTGCAGTACTTTATATAGTGCATGTAACAGTGCACTGAGATTACTTTTAGTCTCTCGCTGCTGGCCACTTATTAGAAAGATGAAAACTGTATGAGATTCTCACCTGTCACTGTAAGCAGCGGTGGTAGTGGGCTGGGCAAATCTGTATGCTGCATAGCCACCCTGTAAAAATACCACAGTGTTAATCAATGGTTAAGCACAACCTGTACAGAGAAAGGTTAGATCTCAGGGACACAAGAAAACAACAATACAGCCACAGAGCTTTAAATTGCCTTAACAGTTAAATGTCACTGCACAGCCCTGATTCCCCACCTGTAAGTTCCCTCTTAGACACCAGAGGGTGCTGTTTAATATACGGTGTGTTAGACAGGTGGTGGTGAATGATATTTGGGAGGCAGCATATTTGGGGACAGCGAGTCATTGTCACACTAGAGGCTCATACCAGGAGCAGCATTAACAGCAGCATAAAGGGCCACGTGACCCAACTCCCCAAATTCAGCCTATTTATAGAGGGAGGAGGCTCTGCTGCTGCTACATTATTGAAGAGCCCGTTTTTCTGTGACACGACCCCCCGGCTCAAAAGTGAAGTAAAAAAGGCAGAAGATGGTCAGACTGTTGGGAAGTCAGGACTGCTGTATTCATTTGCCAGAGTGGGGAAGGAATTAAAGACCTCATTGTGGAGTGCTGCTATTACTCTCTTTGAAAAATGAAGCTGTTCTCCCACTGTTTTTCTATTAGTGCCAGTGGAGTGCGTGCCCATCTGCATCCATACAGTGAATAGGTGGCTTTTAATAATGCATGTTTTCATTCTTTTTTAAATTCTAGGGGGAATTCTGTTGAGGGAGTGGTACACAGGGTCAGTGGTGCGAAGGTCATGGCCGTGGCTGTATATGAAATTGGGTCAGTGGCCACAGTGTTTGAATCCCACTCCCCCCGATTCCTCCTAAAGATTTTCCACAGGGACAGGAAGTCACAGCACTAGTGGCAGATGACTTCCTGTGGAACGACCATACCTTGGGACTGTGCTGATTACAGCAGCAGCCTGAACAAACACAGACCAATAAATCACTGTACCACATTGTCAAATCCTGCACACGACAGTGCAGCACATTTGTTATTTTGTCATGTGGGGTGTGTGTTTGTGAATTCATGTATGCGTGCAATTGTGTGTTTCTACATGACAGTTTATTGCATGCATATATATTAGCACACACAATGCATATAATGTATATTTATATGCATATGCATCCAGTTTCCCTCTTGCTTGTATTAGCAGGTCATGTATTTCCAAAAGGAAGCTTTGACACGCCCGGCTGGCTGGTTTTGACAACAAGCCAGTGTCCACTGACTGATTGTGGAAGACACTAAGGATTAAGGGACAGCTTTCTCTTGGTCACCTGAGATCTTCACTCACATTCAGCTGGGCTGAAGCAGTGCAGTGGCCAGTGCCAAAACTAATGGCACCCGGGCCTGGCCTGACGGTTTGAGTTATGGACCACCCTGGCCAGGCCATGGTCCAGGGACATCGGGGTGTAGGACTTAGCTGGAGGTGGCTGAACAAGTATGAGAGACAAACAATATCACTCAGAGCACAGCGCACCACTACAGATGGTGGTTGTTGCTACAATAAAAAGCCAGTGAAATACAGTCCCATCATGTGTCCTGATGTGTAAGTCATATATCACTGGGGTTCAGCATTTTGTTCCCAGACACCGATCGCCATCAGGGTGAAAGTGAGAGGCAACTGTCACTGCTGCTGTGCCCACTGTCATCTCGCTATCTCTGCAGACAGCGGCGGAGGGAAAGAAAAAGCAACTGAACCAAAGGGACAAATTACATCCCTCTGCAAATGTTTGGACTGATGTCAAAGTGGGGCAGCGTGGTAATTTCAACATTATCTCCACAGCGTCTATGCTTTTCTCTGTCAAGGGTGACGTGCACTAGGGCCAGCCCTGATGTGACCCTGCCTGCATAGACAGCTCCAGAGGGATGGCTAATCCCTTTATCTGACACCGTTTTTCTTATCTCCCACATGGTGATGGCTGGGTGCAACCGGCTCCACTCAGGCCTGCACAGACCCCCTGGGGCAGGCAGGGATATCCCAGCCAAACACCCAAACAGAAGAGAGGAAGACAATGGTGGGGGTGGAGGGTTCGTTTGTAGAAGACAAGCTACATCAAAAATGCAGACAAATCTAAAGGAAGAAATGGCCTAACTTGTCATGGGACACTGAGCCCAGGTCTGCCTCTTTGCCAAAGTCTGACATCATAGGAAGAGAGAGAGGAGGGAGGAGCTGAGGGGGTTTTAAATTTTGTTGTCGGGTTTCTTGGCACAGCAAACAGAGGCCTAATTGACGCCAGCTTGGCAGCAAGGTTGGGAGAACATTGGGGGCTGAGGAGATCACATTTTTGTCTCCAGTGCTGACTTTTTTGTCTGCTTTACTCCTGTTTCATCCAAGCAGGCAAGAACTAAAGCCAGATGTACTTACGTAGATCTCTGCACCATAGAAGCCATCTTGGTACACCACCCTGTGAAATCAGAGAACAGGAAAGGAATATTAGTTGATCTGGTGTACATGTTAACTTACTGACTCTTAGCCCTTGATGTTCTTCCTATTTCAATAATTTGTAAGTCTGTGGGGTCAGCTCTTAGTAGCTGTAGTGTACTGTACCACAAATAATGAATGACACATTAAAGCAAAAAAGTGCAGCCGCACATCCCTGTCCAATTTTCTGCTCTGGTAGAATTGTTTGTCTTTCCAGTAGCTGCAGTGTTGTCAGGAGGACTGGTGGTGGTGGGGAGAGGAGGGGAGGACAAAAGAAGGCAACGAAGGAGCTCCATCACATGACTCTGCTATATAAATCAACCAGCTGCCATCGGTAGCAAAGGGCTCTGGAGCAGGAGGGAGGGGAAAGGGGACGTGGGATTTCTAGTCCCGGCTTCGGAAGCAAGGCTCTCTGCAGTAAGACAGATCCTGATCTAATCACAGATAGATAGCTATACTGGGCCCTCGCCTGGCCTCCATCAGACCTCTCCCACGGCCACACAGACCACTGCTGATAAGAGACCAGAGTGAGGCAGGGCTGCACAAAGCTGGGAGATCAGAATAGGCCCTGGTCACAGTCCAGTGAGATCTACCCAGTTACATGCTATCTCAGCTCTCTGCAGCTCTCTGCAGCTCTGCGGCTTTGTTAGTTACTCCTTTGTCAACAGACAACAGACAAATATGAGGATGGACTCAGGGCATGTGCATACTGTATCTAGATACCATCAGTGATTGTACTCCCCAAAGCCAGTAAATGCACAGCGATACCTAATGGTCAGTATTCTTATGTATCTAATCTAGCTAAGTTAAATTCAACAAGATCAGTTAAATCAAATGATAGATAATTATGAAACAACTAATACTGACAATGCAGGTCTAACTTGCTTTCAATGACAAAACAAGGACAAAACAATATGAAACCTGTGACCCTCTCCTAAGTATATGGTCTTGAGACATAATCACTTCATATTTTGTATCTGGAACGTCTTTGTCAAATTAGGAATAACACACACTCTAAATAGGAAATCAAATACAGTGGGTACCACCCAAGCATATGCATAATAACGTGACTGAAACAGGAGCAAAAAGGTCAGACTAAGTCTGAAGTGCTCACTGTTGTTTTCAAGTTAGAGATTTTATACTCACGCTCCATAAGCTGGAATTGGTGGTGGTGGTGGAGCTGTGCGGAACGTGTTGTACACAGCCCGCCCCCGACCTCGCAAGTGGGCACCCCTATAGGCCACTGTAGCGCCTGTGGCAGGGTAGGGAAACCCTGTTACTATGAACAGAAACACACAAGAGAAGGGAAAATGACTTTCAGAGAATATCCTCGACTTGGCATTGCTTACCTTATGACAGAATACATTAGAGAGAGATGTGTGGCACTGCTATCCCTATGACAGAATGCATTATGGGGAAGACATGGAAACAATAGATTTAATCTTTTCTAGGTGCGCCTCATCGAGCACTTGCCCCTGTCCCAGCTCGCTGCTTTGTGCCATACTCAGCAAGGATCCACATTTGCTGTACGCATCCTTTCCTGATGCCTGGTGAGGGGCAGCCTTGAAGCATAGACAGGTAATGGATGCAATGCCACTAGTTTCGCATCACAGCTTTTGCATAGTTCAGACACAATGAGCTAGCAGGGAGGAGAACAGTAGGAGGGTGGACGAAGGAAAGGTAGAGGCCGTTTCTACGTGTTGGGTACAAACAAATTAGAGGTGAAGGTTGTTGAACAACCGGACTAGACATTTAGAACTTCCCTAAGGGAAAATGGAGCAGATGGGCTGAACAGACAAGGCCCAAACCTCAGCATGACCCTATCCTGAAACCCATCTGGGACCATCTTTAGCCACTCACACAGCTACATTTGTCACCAGTGAATGAGAAAGGGTAGGGGTGAAAGGCTTCAAGGTGAATAGCAAGGGTTGGTGTGACAGTGCAACAAAATGTCTGCGGTCACCGATTAGAGGACATGCGATGTCATCCTCAGCTCTTTACTTAACCTTCAATCAGTCCAGGGGCTGTCTGATTACAAGCTGTGGAGGTGCATACAAACACAGCGATCTCTAGACAAGATTAAGTTGGCCTCCTTCCTTAAAGCAATCAAAATTCCCTCACATGCCCCTTCCCTCTGTTCTTCACCCTGTCTACTAACGCCTAGTCCACTGGAACACCGTCATCTTCATTATTCTCCATCCTCAGCAACGCCTCCTCATCACCCTCCCCTCACCTTATTCTTTATTCATTTCCATGGCATGTTTTGAGTGAATTCATCACAGACCACTTCAATTTCTCCAATCAGAGATTGCTCAGTGATGGGGAGCTGTGAGCTTCTGTCTGGTCTTGTTGGCGGGGAGATGGTATCTCAGTTAGGGTGAGTAACACAGGTTAATAACATGTATCTTGTGTGTTTCAGATGAACCCAATACAACAAAGGAGATAGCAGAGAGTCCCTCGCAATCACAGATAAACTAGACTGAGGTAGCTCGTATATAATTGGAGGCATATAGGTTTCTGCCTGGGGAGTGACAGGGTAGTATTACAGTGCCGTATGCAGTGTAAACCCTGCAGGTGGACGAGACCAGTGAGCACCCTAATGAACAATGCACACCCTAGTCCTGCTGCTTCAATAAAGCTGACAGGGAGACAGATTAGTGGTGCTTTTAAAAACACAGAGAGCTAGGTTTAATGTCTTCTACCATTAACATCACGCTCCATTAGTGGGTTCACACACATATTCAAACTTTGCATCTCATTTGTCCAGGTAACGCCCACATACCCATCCTACCCTCCACACACACCAAGGAGTAGGGCACTTTGTTTGCTGCCAGCGTACCAATGGACTGCCTGGGCTCACAGGGTGCCCCCTCTCCCCCATGTGATTTATAATGCTGACCTTGACATTTAAATTAGTCTCTTTTTTGTGGCACAGTGGACATCAGAGCGCAGTCGCTAAAGGGCAAAAACAATCCTCTTTCATAGTTTCTGAGGCATTTTTTTTCACCCTCCTTTTTTACAAATCACTACTATTTCTGGGCCCCAGAAAGTCCAACTGCTTCTTTTTTCTTTTAGGAAATTTGTATGCAATATGCATGCAGTGATGTATGTGAATGTAAACTCATAATGAGTTGGCGTTAGGCTACACTGCTTCAAAAATAACCCATAAATCAAAGGCACTGTCACACCTTGGTAAGCATGTGAAAAGCAACAACAGCCACCATGTATGAGAGCACAAACCTGGTCTAGCCACCAAAGTCAAACATCTTTTCCGGGGTGGGGTGGTAGTGGTTGGGGGGAATATGAGTTATGCGCTGGAGGGCAACGGGGTCATGCTGCACCTCATATGTCATATGTGTCAACTTGAGAGAAGCTCAATACCTGCCGAGCCAGTTGGACCTGAGGTAATCCAGCTCTGTGCCAATGATGGGGTCATAACCAGCTCCCATAAAGAAAGATCTGATTTTCCACAAGGTTGATCTCTCTAATACTTCCTGCTCAAATACATCGGGCAATGAGCACTTAATCCATGCACTGGGGACCAAAAACAGCTTAATCTAATCAAGAGTCTGGAGCTTAATTACCCCCCTAACGTACACTCCAACAATGAGATGATCTGTCTACATATATTAAGATGGAAATTAGGCTTTCTTTTCTGTCATTTCCACAGCTGGTAGCTTTTCACAAGTCCTCAAGAAAACGTCACCTTAGTTGCAGAAAATATAAACTGGTGAATGAAGAGCTACTCATGTCCTGTCTTCTTTGGAATTAGCTGCAGAGAAGAGTCTGTTAGCCTGAGGGGGACTGGTGATATGAAGGGAGTTCTAAGTGGCGTCTGTCCATGGTGCTGAAAACATCCAGCATGAGGAGTAATTCAGAAAAGATCGCCAGTTATTGTGAGATTTCGTAAATACATAAGCTACGTGTCGTGTACAGATCGGTCAGTGAATGTTTTGTCTTCCTTTTTTTGTCGTTCTTTAATGCAATAATTTTTCAATGCTTTGAAATAATATTCTGTGCAACAGTTGCTTTATTTAATTTAATAAGAAAATTATTGCCAGTTTAAATATCTATGTACATGATTGAACAGATCCACATTTGTGCATGTACAGGATACATGCAGAATATATAACCATGTACTTCAGATATGTAGATACTAATACAATATTCTAAGCAATAACAATATAATGTAAATTATAGCTTTGTGCACTGATAGCTACACAATGCCCCTGTACTCATGTACTCACTGTGCATAGAAACTACAGACACATGTAACATATGTACATGTGTCACCAAGCAGATAGAACTGACCAAGAGAGACACTATCAGAGGCACTGGAAGACAGAATCCGGGGTTTTCATGTAAACCAGATCAGCATACAGTAACACAGGGCAAAGCACAAAGCAGAACTGATAATGGATGCCTGCCAGCTACCACACACAATGATTTGTGTCACTTGCCAATCCCTACATTTGTTTGGGAACTCAGTCACCTTGCTCCGCTTTCCTGAACCATGACACCCTCATCTATAACACCCCTACCCCACCCCCAAATCTCTTTCTAGCAGGGCTCTGGAAGACATGAACCTGGGGTTGGTGCTGCCTTCCTGTACACCCCCCCCCCCAATCAGTAGGAGGAGCCAATCTACCCTGGAAGAGGTTAAGAGTGAGGAGCCGGCATGAGGCGCTCATCCGTCATTCTCCTGAATGGGTTTTGAGGACAATAAACCTGTAGCGCCAGGACGAATGGAGACGAAGTGCGCTGTCACCAAGCCAGGATTTATGACTCCCAATTTCACTGATCTCCCGCACAGAAATGAGGTCTGATAAACAGTGATTAATCGCCTTTATATCCCATTTTACTCCCACCAAAAGTAGATTAACTGTAGCTATGATGATTTTGGAATACATCCTGAATCCTGCAAACCTGATTCTTGGGTTTCCTTTTTTTGTCTTTGTTAGATAGGGGAGGAAAATCATAATCAAAGGCAATGTCAGTTATGGTCTTTTGTTTGTTTTTTTGTTTGTTTTAAGAGCTACAACAGCCTTTTGATGCTCATTAGGGTGGTTTTGTTTCAAAAATGTATCTCTTATTTATGTTTCCCATCTTCCCAGCTGGCAAGCATATGTTGTCGTTTAGTCTTGGCAAACTCCTGCGCCATGTCAAGACGACTTGAAAAATTAGCAGCCAATAAATCACCCAGCCCCTCCTGCTTCCTCTGCCTGGAGTGGTGGACCACACTCCCTCTGATTTATGAGATGATTTGGGTAGTGTGTGCGTATGTGTGTGTATGAGTGTGTGTGAGTGTAAAATGGAGAAAGTGCACATAAAAGAGGGGGCATGTATTAGTGCCTGTGTTCTTTTTGTTGTTTCAGGTTATCTATTTCTGTATGCTAGAATGCTTTGGTCTGCATGTAAACACAGGGCAAGGGATAATGTTGTGTGTGTACATAGGTCAGTAAAATTATTAATATAAGTTAAGAGTTAATAAGTGTAAAGTTTGTTTCATTTAATGAACATTTAACCTGGCCTTGGCATAATGCATATGTTTGGGCATGTGCCACACATACAGAGGGAGGTGTGTTTGTTTGTGTGTGTGCATGTGTGTCTATAATTATCAAGGGAAGATACCACGGGAGTGTTGGGGGAGGAGGAGGATGTGGGTGGGAGGCAGGGGAGGAGGCATGGAGGGGGTGAGGGGTTGAAATAAAAATGATAGATGACTGCTTTCTGTCATGGACAGTTATTTAGAGGTTCGCCGTAAAGCTGTCCGGGGAATGAACAGATTTTAGTCTAATGAGCAGAAAGGAAAGCCGTTAAAGTGGTGCGATGTGCTCAGCACTTCTTCCAAATGAAATAGTACCATTTCCCCCTCATTAAAATGCAAAGGGTTCATATAACATACAGCAATAAAGCTGGCATGTTGAGTCAGAAAGAGATACAGAAAACCCCAACGAGCTCATCTCATTCCTCCATTACTGAGACCAAAAGGAATAGAGGCCTTTGACAAGGTAGGTGCCAACAATATCGCTCACTCAATCTCCCTTATTCGGTTAGCTCTGTAAAAGTCAATCTGGCGCACTTGGCAAATCCATCCACAGCAGCAGCCTCCACAATCTGATAACAGCTGCAGGGGCGCTTGCTCTTGAAATCATTTTTTTCTGCCTTACAGTTGCACACCGCGCAAACAATGGCTCAAGCTCCCTCAACCACTCAGAGAAGCTTGGATCATCCACTGCTTATCTGGGGTGCTCCCAGATTCACTTTGATTTAAAGGGAATTTCATGTTCAGTAGGTGCAGGATGAACTCGATTGTAGAAATTCAGGGGTCAGATTGGGATTGGCAGCGGCTGATAGTGGCCCCAGGTACGGTGCAGTGCATGTGGTGGAAGGTAAAGAGAAAAACACTCTACAATCCCAGCTGCAGAAGCTGTAGCTCTCTTACCAGCATACAGTTCAGGACCATAGACCGCTCCTACCACTGGATTCAGCTTCCAGCCTGGTGAATAAAGAACAACTGAACTGAGAATGGAGCTAAATGGAAATGTTATTTTTGTTAGGTTTTACTATACAGCTTAGTACTTACCGTTTGTGTAAGGGTTGGCCACTTTTTTGTTTGTCATCACTCGTGCTGTTGCATTGTTCACCTGTTGAAAGCAATAAAACACACAGTCTGTGATTACTGACCCCGACGTTTACTGTCAAGGTGTCCAGGATGAGCCAAAAGCAAGCAGCAAACCAAGATGAACAAAGACACAGTCATGAAATAATGGATAAACAATTATGTAAATATGTTTGTATACTGCTGTGATTGAATTTGGTTCACCCTTTCATGAATTTATTCATCATTTCAAAATTCATACACATTATTAAATTACTGGAAAGGAAGAAAACATGCATCAATTACCCACAGGTATGAATAATAAAGAAAAAAGGACATCCTCCAAAATCAGTAACTGGTTGGATAAAGCAATAAATTCCCCCCCCCAAAAAGGTGCTTCGATTTTCTTCTATTGACCTAATGAGTGTGAATGAGTGGGGGTTTGGCTCGATGTAAACGAGAGCAGAATCTGAGCAGGCATCACTAAACGATGGTGACAGAGGAATGCGGGTCTTCTCAGATTTGACAGGAACTCAGAGGATCATAGCATGCATTCATTCTGCATTGTCAAGTAATGATGAACAACTGGTGTGCCCAGGTTGACATGCATGCATCCCATATTCTACTGTTATACACCCATTATGCATGCATTCAAGCAGGCACACATACAATCTGGGATGCAAATATCCCCCTGCCCAGAGACACACACACATTGGGGCAACATGCTCATGGGTTTTTAGCTACATCGAGAAGGCAGCAGACAGTAAATGCAAAAAAGATGGGAAAAGGGAAAAAATGAAAGCACCTCTATTTTGCGTCCCTCTACGATTGTACCGTTTAGTTTCTCCCGTGCACGATCAGCATCTGTGCTTGTTTCAAAAGTTACAAACCCAAAGCCCTGAGAGCGCCACATTAGCCACCGGTAGAGAAGGGAAGGATGGACACACACACACACACACACACAAACACAGAGGAAAAAGAAAGGGGAAGAGAGGAGAGAAGGGAAAAAGAGGTGAGAAGACAGGAGTAGGTGAGCAGCAGCGGCGGCAGAATAAAGTTGTAAGCAGCCAGATTAATTAGAGGCAGTTAGTGAGGCGTCAGGAAACACCAAACAAAGATCCGAGGAGGAGAGGATAACGGTGACATGACCTCACACAACACCACCAACAATCCTGCCTGCTTTACCCAATTAAACAGCACAGCGCTGGTGCCATGGGTGAATGTCAGGAAGCAGCAGATTCAAAACATTGTGTTAGCTGCCATAATAGTCGTATAATTATCTACACAACTTCAGCAGCGAGGCCATTCAAACTGCCTTGTCTCCATTTGAAGACGTAGGCAGCAGCAGGAGGAGGAGGATGAATTCTCTGATGAGAGATATTAACTTGATCTCTGACTATTTCTAATTGACTGCACTAATAAGTAGGACATTTTTATGGAAGCAAAATTACACTGGCTCATTGATGTGAAAAAAAGTGAATGGTGTCATTGCAAATCCTCTGTAACAGAGAAGGGCAAGGATATTGACTTTAAAACCTTACCAAAATATACCCCACCTCTCAGTTCTATCCCCCTCAACTTTCCATCTCCCTTGCTCCCCTGGGGAGATTTGTCACTTCCTTGAGTTATGTGGACTGGGATGCTGGACCTGAGCTCTATAGTAGAAGCATTAAGATATGCTGGCCAAACAAGCCCCATTCCTTTGGTTTCTATATATACTTATAGAGGTATGGGCAGGGGAAGAGGGAGCATGGCCGGTGCTGCCTGATAATTGCTTGAGGATGTAATACATGTGAGAGATGGCGAGCAGTGTGATCTTGTATGCATACACAGGATCTCCAGGCTGCTATTCCTAGCATAAATAATACGGGACCTGTCCTTGGGGAAAGAGAGATAAAGAAATAAATTCAAAAAAGGAATTGAGGGCAAAATTAATCCTTTGGACATTCACCCAACTATGGTTACCCCCTTTATCTTTTTTTTTTTTTTTATCATGCACAAATAATTAGCTTACAAGAGGGGAGAGTGAAGCCGCCATTTTTCAAAGGAGACAAACATATTGAATGCAAATTGCCAAAGCTTCATAGGAAATAGATTGTTTATTAATGGCCTGGTAGGTTCATTATAAGCACACAGGGTGCTGGAGAGAGAGAGGCATCATGGGTAATGGCTTTGTAGGGTACAAACAATAAAAGCTTGTTACGGCGGAGGAGGCAGGTTTATCCGGTGCTCAATCTTGTCTGGCAGAGAGGGCTGTGTGCAGCAGTGTCGCCTGCTTCCAGGGCTCCCTGCCTGCCTGTATATGAGCCCAAACTACTCCCAGGTATGAATGGGAATCGATAGTATTCATGCCTCAACACCCAGCCAGGGAGCCTGTCTCCTTTATGAATGGAAAGCTGTGGAGCTTAGTACACTCTATTAAATGAACAGCTGGATGAGTAGCACTAGGCTGTTCACACCTCCACAGGCTTCACCTGTCCATGGTGGGTGGTTAGGAGACTGATACTGCAGTAATGTAGCAGCACTGTGGATATTGTTCCGCTGGAAGGTTGGAATTCTGGGTTTAGGGGTTCAAATTATCCACAGAGATACTGTACATATATATGAACAAAGATGTGCAAAACACTTAAAATAAGATTATATCTCATGCTAATTTTCTAAAGGACAGGGCTGTAAGAACAAAATCAAAGTGCATTGTTGTCCAAAATATATGGAAAAAAGACATATTGAGCCATCATGAACACACCCACTGTAGTTTATTTTGACTCACACCCACATATACTGTCCTGCTGCCAGAAATACTCAGCGGTGCACCAAATGAGGATTAATCTAAAACTAAAAATATCCCCCAATGAGGGCACCATTTATTTCTGTTTATGTAAAAATAAATCTGCACATGTGTGATCCAATTTTAAAGATTTACATCTTTAAAAGGAAACGGTCGGCATGGAGCTGAGAGAGTGGGAAACTTTTATTTCATGTTATTTGTTGACAATAGGAAGAAATACTAACACCAACCTCATCTTTTAATTCAAAGCACGATTACTGTCATGTCACATTCATATGCCATCTGTTTGTCCACTGCTTCACATGTGAGGTGAAAACAGCAATAGCCTCCAAAATTCTTTAAACTAAACTAGATTTATTTGCAAAACACCCCACAGAACAGAGTTCACATCAGGAATAATAATATATTTTAAAACACACAGGCCTCAAAGAGGACCAGGTCTCCGAACAAGTGGTTTCAACTCCATAAGCTTGAAAACCTGCAGCCTGCTGGTGGATTAAGTGAATTGCGAAACAGCTCAATAATGAATTGATTTACAGGGCTAATGATTCACAACTTTGGTTAGAGCTGCAACAACAAAAACAATGGGGAGGAAGGGAGGAAGAGAAAGAAAGTCATGGTGGATTCAACTCTCCAGGACCAGGCTTAGAGACCAGTACTGCCAGCCAATGTACACACTACACTAATGCCATCATTAGGAAACAGAAGAACTACATGATAATGAAGCAGCTGGCGTTCTAGTTCACTTACCTTGGATCCTCGCTCATTAAAGATAATCTCCACATCTAAAATCTTTCCAAATTGCTGCAGAGAGAAAAGAAAAACAGAAGAGAAGAGCAGGGCAGAGATGGCGTTAGAAAGCCTCACTGGCTGTGAATTCATGAGGAGGATGTCTGGAGAAAGAGAAAATCATTAAGGCAATATGGAAATGTTACTTTTGTGAGGAAATGGTGGTAAATTTGCATTTGTTAGCTCAGCAAACAGCTCCTGAAGCTTGCTAGCATGCTCTTATAAAGAGAACTCATAGTCGTTGCTTTAATGTATTTTTGTATTTCTATCGATAAGAAATGGGATCATAGCATCTGTAAAAATACTCTTTAATTACATTTATATCAGCAGTTTTGGTGTTTGTTTGTACACAGGGGACACCAGATGATCTTTTGACAGCGTCTTGAGATGTGGAACACCCTCCACCTCCAGTCTCTTGAGTAGATAACTGAGCTCTGACTTGTGGAGAGTTTGGTGGGTCAGTTCTGACTGTACCTTTTCTGTCTCTTCTATTCTTTGTTCTCTCTTCTGCTCTTTGTTTGTGTGCTTTCACAATCAACAGGACCTAAGGGCTTGTCCCCAGGGGTTAACATACTCCAGCCTTTCGATTTAACAGTCCTGCCTTTGGATCATTAGAAAACAGAGGAATGAAAGTAAACTGTAAGTTCCTCTAATGAGTGGAGTGAGAGTGACTTTTAATTGCTGTCTACAATGGCCGTATTATTTCATTAAAAGTAATTACCCTGTCAAGCGGTCCGCATCGCCTTCATTTCGGCACAACAGGGAAGAAATGGGCCTTCCATGTGGTCGACGCTCAACGGGAATGGATGGATCGTTTGACTGAGCCACTAATAGGGGTTAGGAGGAGCTGGCTATTATCTGGCTGGAGTAAGTGGAGTGGGCTTGAGGATCTGAGGGTTTATGGGTTAGCAAAAGCCATATGTCCCCTCCCACTTGAAAGGGCAATGTGGTGACCTCACCACACCAAGTAAAAAAAAGAAAAAACAAAGGCTTAGCTATTTAAAACCTCCTTTGTATCAGCAAGGTGTATCACCTCCCCTATATATCTGTTCTTCTTGAAAAGAGATTCTATAGATCACATCCCACATCTGCCTCATATGGTGCTCAGCTCCATTGATTCGAATGGGAAGTGTTGGCTCGATCACACACACAAGCATTTATATCCCAGCGTGATGCCCTCTTCTCGCCCGAGATGACAGTGCTCCCCCCACGCAATGTGCAGATGCTAATTGTTTTAACCGAGCATAATGGGCTTGTGGCGTCGATTAATTAGTTTCAGAGGAAGCCGTCTTTGTGGATTTCCACATGGTGCAGGGGAATGCTCGCTGCTCACCAGTGATCTCATGCACTTCTCTCCCCACCCACCCGCTCACACACACACAAACACACACTCAGAAAAAGCTGCATCAGCAACACCAATAAACAATAGCTTCAATGGGAGGAGTCTCCAGAGGGAGGACAAGGGAGAGACTGACGTCATCTAAGAGGCTGCAGCTATGTCCATAGCGTCTATAGACTATCTAAACAGTCTCATAATAATAGGACAATGAGTGCACTATACCAGTGTTTTGACCTGTTTTATCTTACAGTACTTACTACAGTATATTTTTTACTTCACAGGTGACATCACTTTCCTTTCCATATGGCTTCCATTACATTATTGTTAGCAAGGAATGCTGAGGACACCTTCCAAATTATGCCGCACTTAAACCACATAGAGAAATAGAAATCAGGTTACACTACTAAAGCAAGTCTCCAGAGTGCGGTATTTAATATTTACACAGAAATGAGGAGAAATCAATGGCTTGTCTTAGAAATAACGTGCTATAAAAAATGCACAGGATTTGAAGGGGGCAGCAAAAAGTATGTAGAGCTGACTATTATCTGGAGCTTAAAAACTGTAAACAAACTGACACAGTATGGACTTGCTACTTATTTCCTAAATTAAATTATGAAATGCTCCATTTCCTATGCTTTAGGCCACCTAGTGTGAAAGCAAAAAAACAATATCAAGGCCACTGTGCCTCTACCTTTGATTAGCTTGGATATCGTTAAGCTCTTCAGAAACCTATAATTACACTACAAACAGTAGAGTGCCAGTGTTCAGGCACAGCAGTCAGCGTGACAGCAGGAGTGGCGAAGGCAGAGGTCCTGATTGCTTCAGGGAAGGCTATGAGTGCCCTTACCTGCACTGAGAGAAACACTACTGAAGAACCAAGTTGCACAAATGAGGGCACTCTCAAGCAGCACAGCATGGCGTCACACAGAGCTCACTAGCTTTTGGAGTGTTTTCATTTCCCCCACACTTGCTAGCTCTCAGAGATCACAGTTTCTAATTACTGATTATAGTCCACTGTGGTCGTCCTAATGAGCCCTTCATTCAGCGCCTCGTTAAGGACTCACAGGTCTCACCAAAGCCTTAACCCTGTGGCGCGTGGGGTGAACTTCAAGTCCTCCCTTCATGTTCCAGGGTGTGGGCTCCAAAGCTTTCTACTGGGGTTTGGAACCTTTGCCGCCATCACCAGAAAGGAATTTTTTTTGTGCGGCGTGGGAGCAGATGGAGCACCTAGCGGGTCTTTGCTCTGCTGTAGGGATCTTCTCTAGTGGGCCATGCAGCACCTCCACTCTCCTTCTGCTCTGTCTTCCTGCATGTCTATGGGTTTCGATCACGTGTAACCATAATGGCGTATTGAGCCGGTGGCGTTCCAGAAGCCATTAGAGCCACAGGGATGAGGCTCTGCACATGCTGATCACACAAAGGCCCATTGTGGAGGCCATGTCAGAGGGTGGAGCGGACCAACTATCTCCACGCCAAGCTCTACCCAGTACAATCAAACTCAAAGTCATCTACTACGCCAAACAGAGAGAGGTCTGTGTGTGGGTATGTGTGCATGTTAGTGCCGTGGGGGGGTGGGGGAATGAGGGGCGG